TTAGCCAGTTTGTTTTAAACAGGCGAAAGTAAATTGACTCTCTCCAGACAGTTGTTAATGTTGTTTAATAAAGGACAATCACATAAAACTGGAATCCTTTCATAGCTGAAACATGCTTTCTTTGAAGAACAGCATATTTTCTTCATTGTGATATGATATGCTATGCCAAACTTCTAACTCAGTTATAAATGTTCAGATTAATAACTTAAGCAGTTCTTTTACGTAAAATTACCATATATAAAAGGGACATTAAGGATGCAATTACTATTCAGGAAAAGCCTGTAAAGTCATTGTGGGTTTTATTATGAGGTTGCTTTTTTCTTTTAAAGTTTCAGAATTTGTTTTCAGCACAAATTACATCAGTAATAGATTTACTTAATATCATTTGAATTAATTTGTGATTCTGTCATTTTTTTAATTGAAGATCTTGTTTTAAGCCAATATCTCAAACGTCTTCCATATCTAGCTAGTGTATCATGTTGGCAATTGAACTTGAAAATTAGAATAATGCTGTAAAACTGGAAGGTTCAAAGGGATAATGTATGTTTTCCATCTTACAAACCAGTATATATCCTGTTTCTGAATTTAGTTAAACCAAATACATGTTGTCCTATCACTAAGTGCCAAGGATGCAGTACTAAAACTGTGCTGCTCTACTTAATGTAAACAAATTAGTTGTTGATATGCATATCAGCGTATTTTGTGCATTATCTTAAGCGTAAAATGTTGACTGTATTAGTGCACTCTTGATCTGCACCAAACTGTACCTACAGTGCACAGGTGTTTCTGAATTGGATCTCTATTAGCCCTTCAGGTCTGTTATAAGTAAGATTTATAACCCAGTGTTAGTCAGTATTACTGTCCATTTTTGTACAAGTTTTCTTACCTTGTTTTTCTTTCCAGTTCTTCTCTCTCCTTAGCTATGCCTGCACATACCATGCAATACACCTCTTGCGTTAAGGTATGGTTCTGTAGCGCTCTTGCTCATCTCCACTGAAGTTTGTAAGACATAATACATGGTAATAAAATAATCACTTGAATGTAGCTGAAATGTATGTTCTTTTACTGCAAAAATGTTTGATTTCAGCAGTATACAACAAAAGTACGTTATCATACCGTTACTAATATCTTTTGAGAGCTTGTTATCTAATAGTTTACAAAACTTGTTATTTACATCACTGTGGACTTTGCACTTCTGTGAATATTAGATGCAAATACAATGTATATAATTTAGAGTGGTGAACAAATGTGTATTTGTCCATGGAATTAGCATTTTATACATGCATGAAAATGAGTTTATAAATAAAGTTTGTAAATAGTAAGCCACAGTCAGTAGTTGGAAGGCTCTTATATTCTTTACTTAGTCACAGCAAATTCACAGTTGAGGTAGGAATGATTTCTGCATAGATGCTGCTAGAAAGAAGCATGTTCTCTTTTGTGATCTGTATCTGGAGATTAGTAACCTATTTACTGTTTATTGTTGGTTCATAAATAGTGACTTTAAGTTAAGAAAACAATTATTTTCGTTTCTTTCTATTTACTAATATTACTGTTTTCTGTGTGCTATATTGTCTTTGCATGATAATCTTTTAAAATCAGGTGTAATGCTGAATCAAATGTTTCACTGTAACCCCACATGCAGTTTACCAAATTTAATGCCAAGATGGATTTAATTGGTTTCAGCTACACTATTGTCTTGTAATGCGTTGACACGTCTTATCCGGAATCAGTACTAGGCTGTGAACTCTGTATGTCAGTCCTGTGGCTTACTGTTCTTGCACAGTATGAAAAGACATACCAAGGTACAGGAATAATTCAACAAGACTTCAAATCTATTAAGCAACATCTGGAAATAATCAAGCAATAATATAAGCAACATTGGTCATCCTTTTTTTGTAGTCTGTTGCATTTATTAAAAGTATACTTTCAAGACGCACATCAACCTATTCCCAGAAGCACAAGACCTAACTGTCCAGTTTTGTTTAAAGGAGAGAGATGCTTTATTCTGAAGAAATCAATTTCCTTCATGATTAATGAAGTTCGGTTCTATTTCTAATTCAACATGAAAGTTAACGACCATGGTGGTCCCTAACCTGCAGTAGGGCACTGCATCAAGAACTCAGGCAGTTTGTTGGTGGAAGTCATCAACTTACTCAAGGCTCTGTCAGAGGGAAACTTTCCCAGATAGTTCTTTTGAGCTATTTGAAAAAATTTTGAAGCTTTGGAAAACTTTTGAAGATTTTCCTAGTGAGCAACCATTTTTTCCACTCACACACTTAATCTGAGAGCTGTTTTATTTTCAGGTGATTTTGTTTGTCTGAGAACTGGCTTAGTAAGTTAGGTTAAAGGTTTTGTCTGGAGTAAGAGCCTGATTCCACTTTTTATATTTTTATTCTTTCATTGATGAATTTGGCAAATTATCTACCTACCTTTTTCCCTCTCTGCCTAAGCATCCTTCTCTATAGCTGACACTTGTAGTCCTAAATAAGTAATACTAGACCAAAACAGCTTTAGACATCCAGAATAAAAATTGACATCTAAAACTAATCCTGAAATTCCACCCACTGTACGCTTTACAAGATCTGAACATGTAATGAGTTCTAGTGTGGGGCACTGTTTGGTTTCCCCTATTTCATTTTAGTTTTTTTCAGGGACCATTACTCACTTTGATTACTTACCAGGGAATCAGAGCCAGCTCTGTAGAGAAATATCCTTTCTTCCACTCTAGCAGACTCTTGCAGTTTGTCTTCCTGACAGGTAAAGAAGGACCATAATAGTAAACCATCAACATCTACGTGAATAATTTTTGAAGATTCAACTGAGTATGTGAAATTGAAAATGTGATCAGACGATGGGATAGTGAGGTTTCTTCTCCATAACCTGACCTTTCTACCCAGCATCCAGCAGACAATGTTATTAGCATTAAATAAATCTATATACACTTTAGTTTCCAAAGCAGGCAGTCTTTGAGAAAGGGTTCCTCAACCCTCAATATTTTTATAAGCCAACAGGCTCTTATCTTTTCTTGAATCCAGCCTGGATGTAAATAAAATTATGAGCAACATTCAGGAATTAATAAGTTCAGCAGATATTTTAACACTGTTTTGAAGGTTATGTATAACCATAATTGTCTGGATGTGCCCAGGGCACTCTCTGACCCAGCAATTAGGACATTTATTCAGCTCTTCATCAACATCTTTTTTTTTCTCTAGAGGGGAGAAATGCAATCCATTTTGGATGGAGGTTTAAATGTAAAAGCCCACAAACAGAATAAAACAGCATGATTTTCATACTTGGTTTTATATCTGCAGTAGATGAAGGATCTCTGCAGCTGAAATATGCTATAAATGGCCTTATCAGAGAGTTTATTCCTTTTGATTTTAGCTGTCCATGCTGCTATATATGTTTTTAAAGCACATATTTTCCAAATTCTCATCAACATTATAAGTGTCTCTGAGACCTTTTTCTACAAAACTGCAAGTTGCTCTTCCAAGTTATAAACAGAATTGTGGAGTAAGAGCAGAATGACTTCCTACCCGTAGAGCTTCAAATACAATGCCAAGAGCTGGTCAGGACTTCACAGTATTTCCAATAATTATAAAAAATAAAACAGTCCTTTGCTTGCAGAAGTCCCTAAAGTTACTGGACAAAATAATTTGTGTGTGGTAGAAGCATTGCTGCATAACATGCACATACATGCACACAGAGCAGCCTGTGATCATGAAGGCACATGATCTGTGCCAAAGAATGTTCTAATTATAGTGGCATCTAATCAAACCTTGAAAGGGTAATAAAAGCCTGTGATGCCTCATTCAGTGTAAAGAAGGATCTGCATTCAACTTCAGACCTAGGCTTATTATCGGTACATAAATTTTATGTACTTAGCTTTATGGCTCAGATCTATTTTCAGCCCCCCAATAGTTCTTAATAAAATAAATAAAAGGAAATTCTCAGGCAAAAAAGAAGTTTTGCTAACTTTTTATTTCAGTTTTAATATTGCAAAGTAAAATAACAATCACAGGATCTTCAGACCAAGAATATTACTGTTAAGTAGAAAAAAATGTGGAAATGATCAGTTTAAGGAATGTAGATAAACTTCATCAACATGTTTCTGAGCTCTTGCTCCTCCCCTCAAATATAGCTGTGTGAAGTCACATTCATCAGGTTTGTTTCATTCCCTCCTTGTTTTGCACGCACCTAAAAACAGCATTTAGAATACTTCTTGCTACACATGAAAAAGATACAGATTTTCTGACTCAGCTGTGACTTCAAAACTTCTGAAAGTTAAAAGTGCTTTGAAGTCAGCATGCCCACTGCTCTCTAGTGCTAGAATCTGGGCTAAAGGGAAACATGTGGCAAAAGATCCAGATTTGAGTAGATGTACCATTGAAACATTTTTCATTGCTTTTATTTCTTTTTAGGACTAGGATATTTGTATATTAGTGGACAAACTTGCCTACCCACTCTCAGAGGACATATAAACCTTACACAGAACCTGCTCCAATAGATAATAGTACAAGAAGGTCAATTTAAGCTCACGGTTTAGATATTATCAATGTTGTTTGTAGCCCTCTGCTGCTTCTGAATGAAGACAACTGTGTAGCTTCTGCAGAAAGGGCCATAATATGAGTCTCTTCAAATCACTTTGGCAGATAGCTCCCAGATGGTAAAGGCAGATGAGTTTAGCCTAGGGGAGTCTGTAGAGCAAGAACAGTTGCTTCATGGCTGGAGCAGTTGCCCATTTCGTCAGGGAACAAGGTAGCTAGGCTCCTGCCAAACGCTGCACAGTAGCTGAAGTCATTAATAGGATATGCAAAGGACAAATATGGCTCAGAATTGCTGCCAAGGCTCTTAACTCCTGTACAGACAGTGCAGGGAGACCCGTAGTGCTAAGTAATGCTCACACCACAGGGCCCAGAGCCAATTGTAAGCTCCTAGACCAGACTTGTCTGACTGGTGACTCCCTTTTATGCAATAGCCTTGTGGTTCTAGTACAAGCTTTCTGCCAGGGCTTGACTGGCATCAGGAAGGACTGCATTCAAATGTGGAGCATCACAACAAACACACCAGTTGAGCTTGCACCCAGGAATTAGAATACCAGATCTGAACTGATGTTCAAAATGAGCTGCTTGCAAACACACATCACCTAACATTGTTATTTACGGGTGGGGATAAGAAAGAAAAATTCCAACAAGTTAGATAAACAGGATGATTTATAACACCTAATGCCTAAAGCAAATACCAAACTATTTTAGAATCTGTTTTCCTCTGATGTGGCAACTGCTGGGTCAGTTCTTGTCCACTTTGAAATATCACTTAAATAACAGTCCTCAATTGATAAAATCAGTTGGGTAACAGGACCTAATCTGAACAGCTGCTAAGTTGCTTATTTGCTTTTTGTAGCTTTGCCACACTTCTTTGCTACTGTTCTTTGCAACTTCTCACTGGCCTTGTTCCTTGCTTTCTTTGCTAGCCACTCTCTTTACTGTGGCACATAATGAATGGTTCCTGCTACAGCAGCTCAGAGCACTGGAAGTAACAGACATCTAACACACACGTTTATGTGTGTTAGCTTAAACAGCTTTTCCTACTTTGCAGCATAAAGGGAATTTTTGAATAATACTTCTTTACTCAGCTTTAGAGGAGAGATTGATTTTTTTCTTTTTTTAGGCCTTCACCATCTGTCTCACAGCAGAGACAGCACAGTTGGCAAGTAGACAGTCTTGGGACTGTCCCTTGTCATCACTGTTCCTCCTCTGCCCCCTGCATGCTGGGAACAGGGACCTTGCCCCAGTGCCAGACTCAAAGCAATCGTTCAGCTCTCTCCTTGCCAGTCGCTTCTTGAGTCATGTCTTCTCTCAAGCAATCTTTCTCAACTTTTTGGCCTGTCAGTCTTCATGCAGCCCTGAGTCAATTCTTCTGCCGAGGAGGAACTGAGCTGCTGCCAGTAGGGAGAGGTAGGTAGCAATTCTCTGGCTAAGATAAACATACCCAGTCAGGTATTACAACCCACTCATATTCACTTGTCATTCCGCATGTTAGAGGAATAGAACTTGTACATACTTCTCCCACCCATGACATCTTTGAAACCTTTTATAACTTCCTAGTTGCAACCCAAAATTTGAGAAACACTTCTGTAGAAATTGCATGCAACAAATTATGAAGTAACCTCCTTCCATCCCTCAAAAGCCAGTATTTGACCTCTCATTTACCATGCTATAGTTTTAGTGGTATAATTTGAGATACAATTATCTACACTAAGCTTCTTAAATCATGCATGAAATGCTTTTCCAGAACCACATTAACAACTAGCTGCTCAGCTTGCTGGAATTAGAAACTAGATATGTTGTTTTATTTACAATATAAAATCAGACTGTGGTTTTGGTGTGGATTGCTATAATAAAAAGGAAAGGTCCCTTTGGTGTTCTTTAATTTATGACACACTGTAAAATGTCCAGGCACATTTTGCCTAGTAGCAGAAGGAGAAAATATAGTAACTCTTGGCTGGAGATTAAAAAAGTCTCACCCACCGTGAGTGTATTTTGAGATCCTGCACATTTGGGAGCAGATCAGCTACTTATCTGCTTCTGGGATCATACTCATTTGTAACCACAGTGCAGGCTCTGTGGCTTTTTTTTTTTTTTTGTTATTCTGCCTAAACAAAATCATTCACATCAGATGAATGTCAGTACAATGCCATTAAGATCACATTAAAGAGATCTTTAGGCTAACATTTCTGGCCTTGCAGGATAAATTGCATCCTGTTCTGATTTTTTTGATTTTTAATGTTTCAAAGCCTGTTTTTAGGCACACTAGAAACTAAAAATAGTCAAGTGCTTTGAATTATGTCTATATTGTGTTCTTTACCCTGCTCATATAAGCAGGGTCATATAAGACTTGTCATCAGTCTTCTGAGCGTTTTCTGGGGAGCAGCATAAACAAGCTATGGCCTATGGTTTTCTACAGCTTGTGATCAGAATGTTTAATCACTGCTTATCAGTGAGCAACCTTCAAAATGGCTATTTCACAGCAGAGCCTTTAGTAGAAGTACATCACCTGACTAGCTTTATTCAACTGTGTCAGTAAACAGAAACATGACTAGGAATCACAGAATGATACAAAGACCTCTTACATCATCTCTCTTTCACTGACAGAACAGGATTCCTCGTTGTTGTATAAAAGCTTCATCTGTCTGACTAGGATAACTGTGGTACCTCCTATTCGCTCAAGAGCCCAACAGGCCTGCATGAGCTCTCCCTGGGAGAAAGATTTCCCTTCACTCATCCTATGTTTTTCTGTTCTTCATTGCTTCCCTCTAGTCTCTTTATGCAATGTCAAGATACTGCTTTCCAGACAGCCACTCAACAAAATATTTCTTGACTATTACCCTTAGTCAATTTGAACAATATGTGTTCAGGGACTGGTATTTCCATACACCATGCTATAAAATAATTGGCATGAAGAGACGAGTAAAAAGAAATAGACTGATCCAGCAGAAGTAGCAGGTGACAAGCTACTATTTTTTTCTTGATAAGATAATTCTTCAATAAAAATCCCCAAGGCTTTCCCTTGTAACATTTTTATTATTGTGTTTCCAAAAGCCTTTAGTTTCAGCAAGCTGGGGTGTTTTGGGGGAGGGAAAGGGGTGGTGGTTTTTTTAATTGTTTGTTTTTCTGAAAGTGAATGCAATCTGTTATGTCAGTGCTGGACAAAGACACATTAGTTGAATTGACTGTTCATCATATTAGAGACCTATACACATGGGAAAATCTCTTGCCTCCTTCTTTATATGAAATTCCTTATGTATGCCAAATTTGTATTGCTTTGGTTTTGCTGAATATTATGTTGCAAACTCATGTCAAGTACCTATCCGGTGTCTCTTTCTCCATCACTAAGAATGCCTTTTCTTCTTTGTACCTTGAAAGAGGTGACAGTCTGCAATTCCAAAGCAATCAAGATAAAAAGGTGAGGGAGATCTGTTTTGCCAGAAGAGGATGCAGCAGGGAGCTGTTAGATAAAATTTTGAAAGAAAGATAAAATACAGTATTAAGGAATCTTGGGGAGTAATAGGACATCCAGTGATGGTCTCCTGGGATTAGTTAGAGATGCCATTGTGTAGGACACTCAGACCTAGACTGAGCTAGCTTGTAGTCTGGGAACAATTTATATGACTTAATGGATTTCTCCCATCTTTTATTCATGACTGCTTAGTCCATGACTGGGGCCTTTCATTCTATGGAAAAAACATGTGTGCACAGCCCAAGAGTGGATGCTTGCTTGTGTGCTTTTGAAAGGCTCATAGTTGCCTGCCAAATTGCCTTTGCTTTTTGTTTTCATGTGTTTTTGAAAATCTTACAAAACCTTTGGTAATTACTCACACAAACATTTCAAAATCCATCCAAAATAATTGGAGAGAAAAGGTGTTTACTCCCTAGTTGACAGCCTTTGTGTGTCATATCTCAGCCTGCAGCAGGTGTTCTCAGCTATCATCAGAATGCTCTGTAGCAGCTGAACATACATCTTCCTTTGCTGCTGATATTATTTTACCTCGTGGAACTTGGCAAACTGCATCATAAAGTATCTGAGATTCTTCACAAAAATTACATGTAAATCCTATGTTTGCCAGTTCTCAGTATTTCTGACAATGTTTCATGGAATTCTTTTGGCCTGTAGGAAAAAAAAACAAACAAAAAGATAAGTGTAGATTTACCCACTGACATTCTGTGTTTCCCTCTATCCCTGGCAGTGTCTGTACCCTTGACTGTTTTTCCTCACCTGGAGGCCCAGTCACAGTGGATTTAGCTCAGTCTGCAAAGTAAGAAAATTACCTTGTTTAAAGCTGACAGGTGAGTTTAAAAGTGGCCTACCTTATTTAGGAACTATATGCCTCAGGAAAGGGATCATTTCTGCTTGCCCATGTAGAAAAATACAGAACATATTTGTGAAAATAACTGTACTGTCCACATACACCTAAAACAATTCTGGCAGTCTCTGGCATTGAATATCACCTCTGGGTCTCCTAACTTTGTTCCCATCCCAGCAGTAATAGTTACTGCCTCTGAAGATGGAGATGATTGTCATTCTTGCAAAACAGAGAAAAGCTCTTATGTCCATTTAAAAAGTGAATGTATATATATCTTGGAAAACACTGACTGTGGTATTTCTTAACTTTATTTTTCTGATCTGTGCTAGAACAGTTTCAGCATCAAAGAAGGGAAGATAGAAACTGATGATAATGGAACAAAAACAGGGCTCTTTCCACATTTCAGTCCTGTCACTCCTTGGCAGATGTTTTTCATAAATGATGATATATTATTTAAAGAGGTTGAGGCAATAGAAAAAAACGTGCACTTTATTTTCCAAACACCTTTGGAAGATTATCTTTTCTACAGGTGGAGAAATCAGCTTTTGTGTTGTTCCTAATTTCTATTTTTTTCCTCAGCCACTCAGCCCTTCCTCAGCAACTGTGTAGTTTTAAAGAATGTAGTCTCTGCCCTTCACTGAGAAATTGAAGCCTTTGCAATCTCCTGACACAGCAATTAGCAATCTCCTGACACAGTCTTACTGGTATGCATATTTTCCTTCTCACTCAGCGATAATGTCATCATCCATTTTGCTCTTAAGTCTGAGGAATGAAAAGTGACGATTTGAAATACTTCACTGTTGCAAAGGGAAAGGATCTCTTTCCAGATGTAAAGCTAGATGTACCTTTCTTCTGTATTTTACAGAATATCAAGAGCATGACTAAGGTATAAGCTGTTCAGTTACTTAGGGTGTACATAGCTAGTGGTTACACAAATAAATCTTGAAATTCAGAACTCATAAATTCAATCTCCTACCCACATTGATGAATGACGCATTGGAAGATATTCAGGGACCTAAACACAGGCATCCAGTGCCATTTTAGCTACAGGCTGTACAATGTATCTACATTAGCAATTTCACAACCCTTTACAGCAGCAGTTGGTAAGCCAGGAGAGATTGGTGCCTATTCCATGTATATGAATCACTGCCACATTGTGGCATTCACACGTTGCTGGGGAGCACTAGGAAAAAAATTATGAAATAATTACATCTCTTTTACATTCTGACGTGATCAACATGTAGATTTGCTTAAGACGTTAACAGGCAATCAGTTCGAGTTAAGTACCTTCTCACAGACATGAAAATCAGGAGGGAAAAACTGAATTTAATAACATCTTTTTAATCCACCTCCAGGTCACAGTCTTTTTATGTTCATAACCGGTATACGTTGTACTGATATTTCTTTTTTTATTTTTTTTTAATTTGAAAGAGATAATTGTATCACCAAAGCATCTGGAATGCAGAAGCAATTTACACTTTTACGTGCAAAAAATTGACAATCTCATCTCCCTGAAGAAGACATAGCACTTTGTCCAAATATGACCGCCTGATAGCACATCATTTCTGGCCTCTTGTGCTCAGCCTTCAATATAAAACCATTCTATCAATTATCCAACACATTCAACCAGGTTGCACCCTGCTTCTAAGTGTTCTGGGAGCAAAAGATCTTTGGAATCATCCATTTGTTGCTGCTAGTGACATCTTGCCTCTTTCCCTCTCTGTGGCAGGGAATAAGAAAGTCGATCACAAAGCTTTTACAGTGCAGAGTGCAGGCTGTCTGCCAGTACCAGTGGGTGCTACAGCAATTGGTCCAGGCTGCCTTAGGAAAGCACAAATACAGTGAGCCCAACACTTCAGCTCTGCTGAAACTGCTGGCACTCAGCTTAGTTTTCTATGCTAACTCTTTTTTCTCCAGGTGTCTGGCCTGGTAAAGAGGAAGAACATTTCTGAAGAGATAATGTTGAAGCAAAGTCTTTCAAAGCTCATTGTGATTCCTCAGGCATATCCTTTGCATGTTTCTGGGTAGCATCAGCTAGCTGGAACAGTGCTGGATATTTTTCATAGATGATGCATCCACTTCTCCAATCGGAGCTCTACCATAACTGGTCCCCTCTTATCTTCTATTTCTTGTTCTGAAGAATCTTTCGGTTTGCAGATGAGGTAATTGACTAAAGACGAGTTTGCTGACCAGGCCAAAAATTCTCTGGACAATGCCTCACAGTTTTACAAACTGGCTGATCTGTGACTGAAAAAATTCCAACAACTCACCTGGGACGTGCACAATATAAGCCCTCATACTAGCTGTTGCAAGTCATTAAATCATTCAGACTATCTATCCAAGAGAAGATTTTACTCTAAATAAAGTTTAAATACAAGCAGAGTGGTTCCAGGAAGTGTACTGAAAATCTGCCTCTCCCCTATAAAGTGAATAAGTTTGAGAACTCCTATCATTCACCAAGATATCTGGGCTCATAGGAGAATCAGGCAGTTATATATATATATATATATATATATATATATATATATATACATATATATGTATAAATACACAGGAACCAAATTCCCACTGAAAGCATCTTGTTAGAATAGATGCAGTAAGAATCACAAATAAAACCCCCCAAAAGATTGTATTTTATAGAGTTCTAATCTTTAGAAAAACCTCCTATCACTTCTGCCTATAAATCTGTTCCTTTTATAGATTTTCTCCTGGCCAAATGTCTGGTATCATCAATAAAAGGTATTTTATTTTCAAAATACATGCAATTTACTTGATGCATTAAATTGCCTTTTAAAAAGTTTGGCTTCAAAGAAGTGCAAAACTATTTTCCCAAACCCATGAAGTGAATAGTAACTTCACTTTCTCTGAAAAGCAGTGGTACAACATTTTTCTTTGGCTTTATGCCAAATGCAGAAGCATTCATTAAGGTTTTACTGCTCTTTTTTTTTTTTTTTTTTAAGCACTGTCTGATTTACCTGAAATACCAACATGGTCTTTACAGGAAAGGTCATTTACTTAAGGGGTTTTCTTTGTACAACACATTTTGCTTGGGGATGACCGTCCCTTGAACTCATACAGCCACTGACCACTTGTACCAGACTCTGCACATTACAGGTATGATCTGACATCTGGATCCCAACAGATGTCAGGTAGAGTCAGGTCTTCAGACTCCTTTGTGTTTAGCATAAAGATAGAGTAATATTTTGCTTTATCCCCTTGACCCACTTAGCAGTCTTTCCCCATTACCTTGACTAGTTTTGTGAAAGCCCCCTCTCTTATTTGAATCTATATTTATCATGATTTAATTGGGTTCTGCTGTATGCTGAGAGCCACTGAATTATATTGAGGAAGAAAAGAATATCTACAATGTCACATCACACAAAAGTGATTTCACTTAGTTTCATAGTCTTCTTTTAGGTACCAAAAAGGGAACTTGAATGTACAGTCACTTCCTCTGCCTACTGCAGTGAAAGAAGTGTGCTTTGTCCACAAACATGAAAAATGAAGGCTTAGAGTATAACATGATCCTTTATGGGCTCCTTCCAACTTGAGATACTCTATGATTTGATGATCTCCTGCATCAAAATCATTTTCAGTCCCAGGCTAAAAATAAAATGTAAAGTAATAAATCTAAATGTAAACTAGTTTGGGGTTCTCTTACCTACATTTCATGTTTTGCTAGGCATTTCCTGCTTTTTCTGTCCTCACAAATATGTCAAAATAGGTTCAAAGAAATGTAGCTTATTTGGTGTATTCACAGAAGAGCTCAGGTACTTTCTCTCCTGACAGGGCCAGGCGCAGTCGTAGAAGTTGCTAGAGATGGGCCTTTCTGACTTGAGCAGGGAGAATTAGTGGACTCCCATGCAAAAGGTTACCTGTTTTATTGCATTTGCAGCAGCAGATTTTGTTCTAAAGTGAGCTGTTCACCTCTCTCATAAGTATGAGAGGCTAGCTCTTGATGGAAATGGGAACCTGCACTCCTGGTTGCTTACTTGTGAAGCACTGAGTCATGTAGCGGGGCTCACCCAAAACGTAGGAGATTACTACAGTGATAAAGTGATCCTCATTTAGACCTGAGGCCCTTTAATTAAACTTGAGGAAAAAAAGTGGTTTCATATTCCATGTATGCAGACCTCAGCATATGAGACCATTTTACTGAACATTTGAAACTTCTTTTGATTTACAGACTCACGGATGAATCAGAATGATCCGCGCCAACAAGTCTGCATGGCCATTACTTAGTGCTGTTTTGACTCATACAACTGAAAAAGTGCAACAGCAGCAACAGCAGAGTGAAAGGGTGGGGAGTCAGCATCAGCCTAATTTTAGAATCTACATGTGAGCTTAATGCCCGTACTTCAATTATTATTGTCTCCAGAGATCTTGACCTACATTCAAGTGAAGTCTGGAGAGTGATTTAGATACTGGAGTCTGGTTTAGTCTAAACAAAAAGGGTCTCCAGTATCAGTTGAGAAGAACTTGTAGGTCACCAGAGCTAGACCTTCAGTATTAAAGGAATATGATCATACAATCCCACACACAAAGTTATCAAGCACCACTGAATTTTTCTGACAGCTAGGACAAATTTTCTAATCCCTCACCTAGTTGTTGTTGGTTAATGATTATTTATCCTCCAAAGTAGGGGAATCCAGATGATACAGTGATAGAACAACAGGATTTAACGGCTTCCTCCTCACATCGTGCAGTTGCTTAAGTCCAGCTCAGTATTGTTTTGGCTGCTACTGAAAGTTCAGGCTCTGTTCTGACAATTTGTTCTGGATGAGTTCCTGCTGTAATACTGTTGCCTTGAACTCCATGGAGCAAACACACATTCTTCATCAGCTGTGCTGTTGACTGTATTTACTTTCACCTCTTTACCTCATCCTTTGAACTTTCTCTGTGCTAGCCAATGACCATAATAACCATGTATGTCACCCTATGCTGCAGATAATGTCTGCACAGTGATATAGCTTGTGTAACATTATGCCCATCATCACATCTGTGCTGCTTTTCCAAAAGTTCCAAATCATTAGATTTTCTTCTGCATCAAAACAGGTTACTTGCAACCACTGTGCTTTTGTCTTTGTTTTGGATATTTTATTTTGTTCAGAAGTTCTATTCCAGAAAGCAACCTGTCAACTTTTTCTAAACCCAGCTATTTGTAAAGCCTAGAAATGTTTTCTGCGTTAATCTATTCTTGAAAATCTGAAGTTCTATAATTTTTTTCCTTAGTGTCTAAGTAATAACTTTCTTGTAAAAAAAACCACAAAAAACACAGGACATATCTCGCATTTTTGCAGAAGATCAATATCTCTTCTGAATATAGTACAGTATCTCTAAAGCAGAAAAAAGTGAAAGTTTTGAATCAAGTTTTTCAGTGACAGCAGAAGATAGCCAGACATCAAAATGGAAAAAAAAGTAAATGGAAGATGACCAATACCATTCTGAAACATGCTTTCAAAGCGCATTTTTGCAGTTATTCTATTTCATTCTCATTGTGTTTTCATACCTTGAAATATTATACCAGTTGTTATATTCTTAAAGAAGTTATTTGAAGAATGGTTCATAGTCCATTTATTGTTATTCTGTACAGAGATATGATGAAATCAATGTACTCTGCACCACAGGCATAATGTAAAGCAGATGGTTTTTCCTCAAGCAACGAGTACATTAAAATCAAAACTATAATACAATGTATATAGTGCTTCTAGATTAAAGCTCTTGCATACCAGATTTGTAGCTTTGATTCTTTCTGATTTTAGTGCTTAGTAGGATTTATCCCAGTGATTCTGCCCTTGGGCCAGAGTGAATCAGCTTTTATCTAGGATGATCATATATTGGCTAAGCCTTGTAGCTTTTCTTTTAATAAACATGTAACTTTAACCTACCATTACATGTACATAAAACATTACAATTCAAGCTTGCACACAACACTATAGACAAACCAGAATCCATCAGAGTTCAAAATGTGGTTCATTTGCAGTAAGAACACTTCTAATGTGTGTCCTTTTAATTTCTTTGATTTCCTTCTAGTCAGCTTTCTTATAATCAAATTCATGCTTGCCCAAGGTTACGCTTATTTGTGGGCACCATAGAATCACAGAATAGAATGAATCATAGAATTAACTGGGTTGGAAGAGACCTCCGAGATCATCAAGTCCAACCCTTGATCCAACCCTACTGTGATTACTAGATCATGGCACTCAGTGCCACATCCAGCCTTGTCTTAAAAACCTCCTGGGATGGTGAATCCACCACCTCTCTGGACAGGCCATTCCAATGCCTGATCACTCTCTCTGTAAAGAACTTCTTTCTAATATCCAACCTAAACCTCCCCTGACAGA